AGACACACGCACACAGACACACAGACACACACACACACACAGAGATCCATGCATAAACACACACACACACACACAGATCCATGCATAAACACACAGACACACACAGACACACACACACACACACAAACACACAGACACACAGACACACAGACACACGCACGCACGCACGCACGCACTCGCACACAAAGACACACAGACACACACACACACACCTCGGGCAGGTTGAACTCTTGCTGGACGGGAGCGCGGGCGATGGAGGTGGAGACGTCCATTGCGCTCGTGTCGCCGTCACCACCAGATGACACCTGACTCTGAAGTGCGCGCAGCCGCTCCCAATACGAGACAGCCGTGCTGGCCGGCGCCCCAACGCTGCTGGACACAACACTGGACGTCACGTCCACCTCATCCAGGCGCCGCTGGATGTAACTCTGCATGTAACTCGACAAGTGCTGGCAATGCGACATGACATCAACCTCGGGGTGCTGCTCCTTAAACTCCTTCAGCTCCCGCAGGCCCTGCCGTGTCGTGTCCTTCGCCGTCACCCGCGCCAGGATGGCGTGAATGCGCTCGCGTGCCTCATCATCGGCAATCGTGGGTGCAGCAGTCTGCTGCCGTGACAGCGCCGCTGTTGAGTCTGTGCGGCGCGCTTGCGTCTGCGCCTCCATCGCAACAAACTCCGCCACGCTGTCAAAGCGGTCCCGCAGCGTGTGCCGCGGGTCAACACCAAGATGTGAGCCAGACCGCAGGCTACCAAGCCCGTGCGCGCCCTCATCATCAGCCTCACCGGCATGCGAGCTGGCAACGCTTGTGCTGTCGCGAGACGCCATCTTGCTCTTGGCGCGCGCAAGGCGTGCACTCAGGCTGCTCACCGCACTCGGCTTTGCTGCTGGAATGCCTGTGCTTGCACGCAACGACGACGACGGCTTTGGAAGGCCCGAGGAAGATGCGGACGTGGGTGCGTCCACGGTGATGTTGGGCGACACGCCAGTGGCAGTCGCATCCACCGTCGTGTTGACACGCTCCGATGGCGACACCACAAATGACGACGACACTCCTTCCTCCTCGTCCTGCTGTTGTTGCTGTTGGTGCTGCTGCTGGTGCTGTCTGATCTCCGACGTCGTTGGCAGCAGCGCCTTGAGCTGCTCGTCTGTGTGCCCGTCGCGCTTGAGCATCAGCAGCACGTACGACCCGACAGCCGTGTCCAGTGGGGACTGCCCAATCAGGCTCAGGTGCGTCATTACGGACGAGCCCAGTGCCTTGACCAGCGAGTTGAGGATGGTCTTCATGGTACGCAGGGGCATGTCGTTGCTTCGCTTCTTCCACTCCACGGGCGGGTGGGCCACGAGAAACTCGTGAATCTCTCTCAGCAGCTGCGCCACGTTGATCTCGGACAGGTGCTCCGCAAGCGTCTTCGTGAGCTTCCACAGGCACTTCATAATCAGCTCCGTGAAGCGATGCGGCACGACCATCTTCTCAGCGCACGCGTCGTTGAGCACGCGGATCAGAACAGCAAACGTCACGTCACGCCGGCTGTTCTCCAGAATACGCAGGAGGATCATGTTCAGTGCGCGGGAGATGTGTGCGCCGTCCTGCCACTGCTCAATCTTCTCATCAAGCAGGCGGGACACCAACTCAACCAGCAGCTGCTGCTGCACGTGGTCCGGCACCGATCGCGCAAACGCGCGGCCCTCGTACACGTGCATGATGCAAGACAGCACGTGCTTGCACAAGCGCACAGCCTCCGGCCGCTTGCCGGGGCTCGACACCTCCTGGGCGCGGACAGCATGCACGGTGAACACGAGACGAAGCTGCAGCGTGCATGCGGTGACGAGGGAGCCAACACTGGACAGCATGTTGATGTCCTTGTCCTTGACAAGATCCTCAGCCATCTTGAGGGCGTGCACGGCCTGACGCATGTCCGTGCTGCTGATGTGGTCGATAATGTCCTCAAGCGTCACCGTCGGCTGGACATGGCGGTGAACGGGCATGGGTTGATCACAAGCATGAGATGATTCAAGGAGTTGTGACTTGACAAGCAAGTATGTATGCGCTCAAGTGTACCAGAAAAGGAAAAAAAAAGGGAAAAGCATCCAAAACGCCTACACACACACACACATACACACACACACACATACACGCACACACACACACACACACACACACGCACACACACACACACACCTGCTGTGGGAGTGTGGCGGCTGGGGTGATGACTGGCTGCTGTGCAGGTGGCTGGTGCATGGCAACCATACTGGCGTTTGCAGACGACGCATGTTGCTGCTGCTGTGGTTGTTGTTGCGGTTGCTGCTGCTGCTGCTGGGGATACGTTGCTGGCGCTGCCTCGTCAATCTCTGTTGGCGCCAGCTCAGGCATTTTCTGGTGACGGCGGCAATGTGGGGGGGGGGGGTGGACAAAGTGGGGGAGGCGTTAGGTGTGATGACTGGAAGAGGATGGACAAGCGACATGCACACAGGCACACGTGCACGACGTAGGCACATGTGCACGACGTACAGATGCACGTGCACATGTACACATACAGATGTAAATACGCACATGTACCCACATACGGCCAATCGACACACGCACTCGGAGCATACACGCACACACACATACATACACACACGCACGCATACATGCAAGCACAAAACACAGCCACATGTGCACCATTTCCGTTGCGGCAGGGAGGTTGAGTGAGTCGAGATCCAGGCTAAACTCCTGTGCGACGCTGGGCTTGAGCGACGCAGCTGATGCAGACCGCGTGGTGTCATTTGACGACGACGCTGCCGCCACGGAAGATTTGCTCGATTTCGGACGTCCGGAACCAGCGTCCACACCCTGAACGCGTGGCAAAGGAACGCAAAGTTAGGGTGGTGTCATTGCACGACACAGTATTCACATACCAGACAGCAATGGCCCACACGGGTAACAGATATGATACACGCAGATGTGCGAGCGCTTCGTGGTGCTTGGTTGCTTGCAGGCAACAGAACATAACACGGCTTCACACAGACCTTTGCGTTTGCGGTGACGGAAGCCGAGCTGCCGCCGCGGCTCTTTGCCATCCGCTTCACGCGCTCCGTAATCAGACTGAACACACACGTGTGTGTATGCACGCAGCAGGAAAGCAAAGACAAGCAATGGCTGTGAGCAAAACGATTCTCTGTAGCACACACACACACACACACAACTCACACATTCACACACGCACACAACAACGCACACATGTATATACACACGCACACAACAACGCACACATACATGTACACGCGCACACAACAACGCGTACCTCATGCTCTTGTCGGGAACGCTGCCCATGAGCTTGTAGATGCCGTCGCCCTGAATGTTGTGCGCTGTCACCAGAAAGTCGAGTGCTGTGGATGGAACGGGGGTGTGGGAGGGTGCAGGGGAGGAAATAGAGAACAACGGGGGTCGAGAATGGGGAAGAGGGTGGAACCAGTGGTGAGAACGGCAAGGGAGAGTGTGATGCGATGAACAGTTGACAGAACCACACGCAGCCAACTTCAGACCACGCTGAACGCACAATTGTACACAACTCACGACACAGTTGGCACACTCACAGCACGAAGACCAAACGCGAGAAATCAAATGCACCCATCACCATCACCACCGCCACCACCACCAGCATCATCATCATCATCATCATCATCATCATCATCATCATCACAGCCACAATGACAGTACACGAACCTGCAGAGCGGACAGAGTGGTCGCGGTCGGCAACTTGCTTTGTGACCGTCTTGAGCGCTTTGGGCGCACCGATTTGCTGCTCACATGGGGAATCACACCAAAAGCGAAAAGAGCAATAAGCACAACATAGACAGTAGGTGACAAGGGAGTGGGAAGCGACACAGCAGAGCGATGGCAACGTCGGCACAAAGTAGCACAAAGGCCTAAACTCTTACTCCACATCCCACATCCTACTTCTCACCCAACGCCTCAGTCTCCCGTCACCACTTCCCGACTTCTCATCCTCGATCCCAAACACAGCACGACGCACCTCGAGTACAGTCATGCCGCTCTTGCTGAGCATGTGGTTCATGGCCACGAGACAGCCCGTCCGCTGGCGGGCGTTCTTGCTCTTCAAACCCTGAACGGCGCACCGACAGGGCATTAAAGTGGCAATGTGACTCTTGGGTCAGTGTAAACTGGAAGGTTACATGCTACGGCTTTGTTGATCACTTGAGACAACCAAAAAAAAATCAATCACGCGTGTGCAAACACACGCACACACGCACACACACACGCGCGCAACACACATGCACACATGCACACATGGGTTCCACGTACGTCGAGGAGGTAGGAGAAGAGGCGGTTGCCCGTGTAGACCTGTGGCAATGTACGCAGCACCGCATGCGTATCTTCACGGATGTTCTCCATCTTATCACCAAGCTAAAACGGTGCACGTTGGCAATCGTGTGTGTGTGTGTGTGTGTGTGTGTGTGTGTGTGCGTGTGTGTGTGAACAAACAAAAACGTTTGCATGTGTGAGTGTTATGCAGGGGCGTGTGGGTGACGCGAGAGACAGAGCATTAATGACGAGGAGTCAACGAGCACGTGCACGAGCGCGGCACAACAATAAAAGCAACAGCCACCATTCTGCACGCAAAGGCTCATGGGCAACTCCGTCCACACGCAACAACACCAACACGGCCCTCGCCCTCTTCAAGAACAACCCATGATCATCCCATCTGCAGACATGGTGCTGGTGCAATTCACCTTCTGGATGAGATATGGAACAAACGACGCGGCCTCATAGTCCGACATGCTGTATCCCTGATCCACAACCGTCTCAAACAGATTCTGCAGGCAAGCAGCAGCAGACAATTCTCGTAAGGTTGGCGATTATGAACGAAACAATCAGGCAGACCAATACGCTACTGCGACACCAACCATCGTACACTTGGGAAACACGTCGTACACACACACACACACACACACACACTCACACTCACACACACACACACACCAGCACGCAAATACACACACAGACACACACACTATCACGCAAATACACCCACACAGGCACACACTCACAGACCTTGAGGAAGGTCATGGCCTTGAGCTGGGTGCGCGGGTTTGTCTCGAAGAAACGAAGTGTGACCCACATCAGCAGCAGATCCAGCGAGGCCACGGCCTCCTCCGCCTGTGGTGCAGGCGTGCTCCCACGCTTCGACACAGCCTGTGCACACGTGGATGTTTGAAGGAGGCGGGGGCAAAATGAGCGTTTGGGTACTTGAGGACATGAGGAAGAGCACACACAGGTAACCACACACTGCACAACTGCACGCACACACACACACACACACACACATAAGTGCACACACACACAAGTGCACACACACACACACACACACACACACACACACACACACACACACACAAGTGCACACGCATGCACACCTTGTGGAGGACGTCGATGGCTTTGCAGTGGTCCTTAAAGTCGTCTGAAAAGAGCTGAGTCAGCAATTCCTTGGAGACGATGGGCTTGAGCTGGTTCTGCAGCTGTTGCACGTACTCCTCACGCGGAGTGGTAAAGTTCCACTTGAGAGACTGGCACATCCAAACACGCAGATATGGGCACAAGGAAAATGGAGTGCACGTGCGTGTGTGTGTGCGTGCGTGCATGTGTGAGTGTGTGATGACATGTGAGCAGAAGAACAAGACATGGAGTTGGCCAACAAGAAGACTTCACACACGCGCGCGCGCACACACACGTGCAACCATGTGTCAGATTACAGTTCAGAGCTGTCACCACCATCCCACCGCCACCAGCCCACCTTGTGTGCCTTGTCGTCGCGAATGCGCTGCTGCTTCTTCGGATCGGCGCCGAGCGGCAGCGTGCTGGAGGCGCCGGCAGCAGCGGCGGTCGATGCAACCGATGACGATGACGTCTTCTTGCCCTTGGACGCGTCGGGCTGAATATACACATACGTGCACACAACGAGGTGAATGGAAGGCCTGCGGTGAGTACAATGAAAGCGTTAAGTGCGCGCACACACATGCGCGCACGCTCTCAAAGCTACACCCATGAAGTACCACACATTTGCGCCCACAAATGCACAAGTACACGCACGCTCACATACGCCAGCACGCACATGTGCACGCTCACATACGCCATCACGCACATGTGCACACACGCACATGCACATACGATTACCTTTGAGGCGCCTCGCTTGGCCTTTGTGGGCTTTGCTGTGGCGGATGAGTCATCATCACTTGAAGCATCGCTGCCCGCTTGCTTCTTCGCTTTCGGCGCGGCTGCCGCCTTGCTCTTCTTCCCACCGGCCTTCTTTCCGTTACCACCGGCAGCAGCGGTACTGTCGCTGCCTGCAGGCATGGCGTCGAGCATGCCAACAACAACGTCCTTGGCTGACGACGGCAGTGTGCCTGCAAGCTTACGCATCCGATCAATGCCAATGGACCGAGCAACCTCCTGTTGTTTCAGCAGGAGTTGGGGGTGGTGATGGTATTGGTGGTGGTGTGGCGTGATTCAACAAACAGGTGAGACAAAGGAAGATCATGAAAGATCATGAAAGACCATGAAAGAGCAGGAAAGAGCAGGAAAGAGTTGGATACTTGCATGTCATGATACGCTCCAGGCATGGCAAGCGATAGAACCAAGTCTCATTCCACAAGAGTGAATGGTAAACAGAGCATCCTCGCACTCTCACGCGCACACACATACACACACACGCGCGCGCGCACACGCGCGTGCATACAGAACGCTTGCAAAGCAACCCACGACGTACCGGGACAATGCCTTGCGCAGCCTTACGCACGGCTGGGTTGCGGTGTTGCAAGCACTGCATGACAGGCTTCACGATCGTCTTGAGGGGTGGCAGCTGCAGCCATACACGCGCAAGGAGAAGGAAGATGAGGAGGTGCACCACGTGACGTTGACAACACAGCGACGGTAGAAATCAATAGCAGATGCTTGCCCCACTCTCATCACTGCTTCGAAACCACAAACCACACACACACACACGCGCGCGCGCGCACACACACACACACATGCACGCCGGCACACACACATGCACACGCCAGACAGCAACACCACCACACCTTCTTTGGGTTCTTGATGGCTGAGAGCTGCTCGCTCATCCACGTGAGGATGCCGGCCTGCGCGTTTGGTTTTCCAGATGCAAGACAGCTGGCAACCGCATCGCCCTATGTTGCCCAGGAAGAAAAGAGGAAGGCGCTGACGTGAGTGTTACGCTTATGTTTGCACAGTCACATCAATACAACAACATACGCGCGCATCCACGCACACACGTACACGCACACGCACACGCACACGCACACGCACACACGTACACGCATACACACACACACAAGCAAACACACGTGCGCGAACCTCGAAGAAAGGGCCAATGCCTGCGTATTTGCGCCACGTGGTAAGGACATCTGTGACAGCGGTGCGGACTGCGTCCTTGTTGTCGGCCAAGTTCTGCAGCACCTCTGGCAAGATGTGGTTGAGATTTTGCCGGCACCCCTTGGCCCCCATGGCTGCGCCAATCGCAGTCAGATGGTGCAGCGTGATGATAATCAGGTTCTTGTTGCTGTCAGAGAGACGTGCCTTCAGGGCAATCAGCACGTCGCCAAGGTCTGGCGTCAGGCGCTGGTGGCGTTTCAAAATGTCGCCCAACTGCTGTAGACCTTCGTTGCGAACCTTCCACGACTTGTCACCGATGCTCGTGATGACGTCAGCGGGCACGTGGTCCGACAGCTTTTCGCGCGGCAGCACATCATCATCCGGCTCCTGCGCATCGTCATCCTCATCATCCTCGTCTTCCTCAGCACCAGCATCGTCGTTGTCGTTGTCGTCAGCACCAGCACCATCGTCGTCATCGTTATCATCGTCATCATCATCGTCACCAGCGTTGGAGGACGATGACGATTTCTTTGCGCCCCGCACGTGACGCGACGCGGCGGGCGCCTTTTCTCCACTCACCTGACATGTGCATGTGTGCATGTGTGTGTGAATGCGTTTGTATGTGTATATGCATGTATGTGTATGCGTGTATGTGTGTGTGAATGCGTTTGTATGCGTATGCGTGTGCGTGAGGGATGATGGAGGTTGGGTGTGCACAAAGTGAGCCATAGTTTGAGCCAACACCAAGAAAACACGCAAGCAATTACACACACACACACACACACACACACACACACACAAACCATAACAAGCGCAGGCGCGCACACATACACATGCACACAAACACACCACGCAACACACCTTGTCAAACTTCTCTGTGATGAGCTGGAGCAGGGCGGGCTTCTCGTCCTGGAACAGCGAAATGAGCGACGGACCAACAAAGATGCGGAGGGTGCCGAGCATATCAATGGCAGCTGTGCGCACACCAGCGTTGGTCGACGCCTGCAGCCATGGAGGCGGTGGGGAAGGGAGGGGAGCGTGATGGCGGTGAGGAGGAACAAATGGTGACAGGATGCGCGCTGCTGTGGGATTGCGGGCAAGGAAGAAGTACAAAACGTCGCAGTGCAGTATGTTGTTAAACGCACGCACGCACGCACGCATGAGCTTGCATGGTTGACGTACAAGCATCTTGCGTGCAAATGTGACGACGGCCTTTGCAGACAACTGCATGCCAAACGCATTCAGAATGCTGGCAATGGTGTTGCACGTCTCCGTGTGCACCTGACGAGGCATAACACTGCATTGTGAGTTGCGAAGAGGCTTATGCGCCGAACATACACAACTGCACACACACACAACTGCACACACACACGCACACACATACACGCACATGCACAAACACATACGAATACTAACACGCGCGCATGTACGCACACGCACACACGCACGCACGTACGACATGCAGAGCTACAGACCTTTGGGCTGCGGTGCGACGAAGCATGGCTGCACATGCGCAGGACAACAAAGTTTGGCCCAAGCTGCTCACACATGACGAGCAGGGCGTCGCTGGCAGGGGCACGGAGCTGCGGGCAGCGACAACGGTATCATGATGGTGAGATAGGCACAGGTGAGGTAGTGCGACTTGCAGCACGGGACAGCCCAGCCTTCAAGATGAGACAACAGCAGCAGCGCGTGGTGACGAACCTTCACGTCAGCAAGCTTGTCGACGAGTGGGGGCACGATCATGTCGACAGCGCGATCCGGGCATGACGGCGATGCCTTGGACGCGGCGGCAGATAGCGCCTCAATGTACGCGCCCATCACCTGTGCAGCAGCAGCAGCAGCAGCAGGAGGAGGAGGAGGAGGGGCACAGGTGGCATGTGTTCGCAGCGTGGTGCGTGTGTGTGTGTGTGTTGAATATATGAGAGCATATGTTGCATAGCAACATGTGAGTGTGTTTGGCGAAATGTGTGAGCTGGGGCCTCGATATGGAGTGTGAGTGCAGTTCGCACGCGTGTGTGGGCTCGATGTGCTGTCGTGTGCGACACGAAATATCTTCGAACATCAGCATCACTGGTACGCACCTGGAAGTTTGTCTCCTTCCACTGCCGAGTGCGCGTCTCTGCGAATGCAAAGATGGCCATGGCCGTGGAGGCATCAACGCTGTCTTCCTTGTCCAGGGCCGCCTTGAGGGCCGTTGCGCCTTCGAGTTTCTCCTTCCACGCGCTGCTCTTCATCAGCTCAATTGCTCCGCCGGATACAAGCGCCTGCACAGCGGCCTCAGCCTACGCACGTGGTCATAGCGGTGGTGATGGTGATGGTGATGGTGATGGTGATGGTGATGGTGATGGTGATGGTGATGGTGACCGCGTGTGTGCGAGAAAGCGCGTGTGTTCGAGCGAGTGTGTACTGTACGTATGCATGTGGGCAAGTGCATGTGTTGGGGAAAACCGCCGTTGTGATGGGAAGTAGACTCAGCGTACGCGTAAACGCAGCCTCACTCGAACCAGCGCAAAAGGACTTACAGCATCTGGGCTCATCTCTGGAAAGGAGACAGGCTCAACGCTGTCTGCCACCTTCTTGCTTCCGCTGCTACCTTTCTTCGACTGCAGAACAACACCAATAAGAAATTGTCGCGTGAGCATGTCTTCAAGATGGAATGTCACACACATTGACTATTGTGTGCCACTGAAACGTGTAATGCACACTCACAACGATAAGAACTGCAACTACACGCATAAGCGCCTTCACACATTCACACATTCACACACACAACTCCACAGACATTCACACATTCACACACAACTCCACAGACATGTATACATTCAAACAAACTTCGACTCAATGACAGGAGCAACGCACCGCTGCGACGGATTTCCGCGCCGTCGACTTCTTAACCCCGGCTGCCTTTGTTCGCTTTGGGCGACCGGCCTTGCTTGCAGCGACAGACGACGATGACGATGATGATGCTGACGATGCGCGTGACGCTTTAGGACGGCCATTGCTCGCACCAGCACTGCTGCTCTTCTTCGCGGCAGCTTTCTTCGTTCCTGCCGCCTTGGAGGACCACGGGGCGGTTGACGTTGATGATGACGATGGTGACGCCCCGACACTGCTGGCGTTGGCAATGATCTTGTCAGCCTTCTTCTTGTCGACGTCTGCAAGCTGCGGGCGAACAAACTTCTCTCCAGAGTGCTGTTCGTGTGTGTGTTGGGTAGGGGGTGAGGGACAACAGCTGAACGGGTAATGAGGAAGGGGCACGAAGAAGTGAAAAGTTGGTGCGTTTGACCGGGGGAGGGGACAGGATGATGAAGTGCAGAATGTCACGCAACATGCATATGTACACACACGACATACACAACACACTAGCACGCACACGACATGTGCACACACGACATACACAACACACACACACACACAAGCAAGTGCAGCTTGGCCGACTCACAGCAATGAGAGCGGAGAGGGCTGTTGCTGCGCTCTCGCGGACGGCTGGCTCGCGGGCAGTGAGGCATGCAACCAGCGCAGCGGCCAACGACGACACGTGACTCTTCCCAAGCGGCTTCTTCGACAGCCTGCTAAGGCTTTCGGACACAACCTGGTGTCGCACGCACACACGCATGCAAAGGGCCAGATGGGTGCGGATTAGTCGATGTGTGATTGTGTGGGGAGGCGACAACATGAATTGAGGGGAAGGAGAGAGAGAAAAATGAAAGACGAAAAGAAAATGGGGAGCACATGAAGCGTATGGCGAGCACATCCACAAGCCGTACTAATGAATCCACCACCCCCACCACCCCCACCACCACCAACAACAACAACAACAACAAACCCACCTTGGCTGTGTGCTGCATCTGCAGTGGGTTCTTCTGCTTGATGGACGCTACGAGCGTCTCCACAGCCTTGTCTGTTGGCATCTGCGCCAGCACTGCCGGCACCGCCTTGTGCAGCGCGGTCACCACGTTCAGCTTCTTCTCCTTAAACTTGTCAAGCATGCTTTCAAAGACAAGAGGGGCGTACGGGGAGAAGCGGTCCCGCAGTCCGGAAGCAATGGCACCAATGCAATCCGTGGCCAGCGCCACGTTGATCACGTTGGAGTCATTCGCCACCACCTGTTTGCGTGGGACAGACAGGGGCGGCATGCACAAGCGTGAGCAAGCGGGTGAACGAGATAGTTCTTGGGAATGTATGTGCACGTGTGTGCACGTGTATGTGTATACGTGCGTGTTGTTCATCGACAGGACAACACATGTGACAACGCTCGACAGCAGTGCAGTTCGTCCACAACAGTATGTGCCGCACACACACACACACACACACACACAACCACACACACACACACGCTCTCGCGCACCAACACAACCATACACGACAACCACATCGGCGCAGGTGCCCCCCTCTCAGCCTCACGTACGCGTATGAAGAGGCGAACGAGGTCGCCGTAGTCGCCATCAGCGAGCTTGACAGCGGAGAGGGCCGTGAGCGCACTCTGCAGCGCATCACGCCTGATGGACCACTTGCTCTCCTTCAGGTCAGACTCAAACGACTTGGGGATCTTCGACAGTGCGTTCACGGCGTCTGCCAGCTCATATGCGTCAACTTCTTCCTCGTCATCATCATCGTCATCATCACCATCACCGTTGTCGTCGTTGTTGATATTCGCATCACTGCCATCAGCAGCATCACCTTGCTGCTGTGCTGCTGCTGCTGCCTTCTTGGCGGCAGAGCGAAGGCGGCGGGTTGGTTTGGGCTTCACGCCCTCTTGCTTTGCCCACTCGTCTTCAAGCTCCTTCATCTGTAGCGGCAAGCAACATCGCAGACCAGACAGGTGCGTGTGAGGGCGTATGTGTATGTGTGTACATGTCCGTGTATATGTGCGTGTGTGTATGTGTCTGCGTGTGTATGTGTGTGTGTGTGTTTTGCCAGCTGTCGCGCACAGGAGAATCCCTGACACAACGAATGACAGGGGTGGGCAGCCGATCCATACGCGATCGCCCACAGCAAAACACCACTTCTTTGAACAAACACGTGTCAGACGGGCGCCACGTGCTGCTGCTGCTGCTCACCATGACGGGCTTGATGTCAGAGAGGGATGGCTTGATGGCGTCGCC